AAACATAAGTCTTAGTGGAGATCTAAAAGGAATGACTGGTCATCCTTAAACAGAGGACTTAAGAGACCTAATGTTTCATTATTGACCCTATGTTGGATGGTAATGTTTCAATTTTAAGTCCATTGAATCATGTCTTTAAGACCAATCACCATACTTATAAGATATTGTCCGTTTTAAAGCCTTGTCCATCACAATTTTATCTATATAAAACATCTCGAAGGATAAAAATAAATATTTAAATTACTTTAATAAGTTTCTTGTGCAAGATTATTGGAGGTGGTATAAACAAAACTTAAAAAATTAATATTTAAAAAAATGAGATCATCATTATTCTATTATGTTTTTACAACAAGACAGATTATTAAACACATAAGAGAAGGTAAAACTCATGAACACATTTACTTTTTTTGTTATTTTTTTATCGGCAAAACGAAGTATACTTTTTTGGTTATTGAATCTGGCGAAAAAGGAGTGAGACACCATAACGTTAAACCAATTATGTTTGTGTAGGTTTTGTTCTACTCTGTTGACACTACCAATTATACAAATTATACAGATTCATCAACTGCGTTCCACCATTTCCTACTTTTTCCTAACACTAATCGTAAACAAATATGATCACTTAACATAATAAAGTCATTGTCATGTGCACAAAAAAATCAATATTTGTTATGAAAAGTGTTATAAGTGGTAATTAATATAAGATATTTGGGTGTTTGATTTCATATATTTAAGATATATAAAATTTTCACACATTTATTGTTAAGTTTTCATATCTTAAATATGGACCTTCCTCCTCACAAGTTTTCAAGCATGCTATATGGAGATTTTGTGTACGCAATATTTCACTTCCTTCTGTAACTTTTTTGTAAAATTTAAATTTAGATTTTTTACTCTACCGTCTAGAATAGCACTTGATTTATTAAATTGATTTCGCGTGTGTATAAATGTGAAATGAAATATATATGAAATATTATATCAATTTAACACTTTAAATATCGATGTACATTATACGATTTGATATATATATATATATATATATATATATATATATATATATATATATATATATTAAATATAAAAATAGTAAGCATTTAATTATATTTTTGTAATTGTTTAAAGTTTTGATGTTTTCTCAGAGAAACTAGTGTTTGTATTTATCTTTTGCATGAGAGTATGCCACTAATTATGATAAAGATGGTGCAGTGCATATATAACATAAACGAGGGATCCATCATGGGTGAAGCACGAGAATCTTCTTCAAACTAATGCGTCGTCGTTCCCTCACAGTCTAAAACATGAGTATTAAAACCAAAGCTTATTATTTTTCATAATTATGCTCACATCGTATCATACTTCTGAATCTCTTTATTAAGATCCTGTTCATAACAATTTATTAATTTAAGTAAACTAAAACCCGTAACCTGTTTGAATTAACACCAGTTTTATAATTAAAAAAAAAACATAAAAGAAAAAGAAGGGACAGATGAACATTAGAATCTCAAAAAAATCTAGATAGCAGCGTAATCCTCAATTCATCCCCACTTTGACCCCACCATATGTCACACTATTTCCTTTTAAGTGTCTAATCTAAACACATTATCCACTCAAAACCTTTCATCTGTAGCTTTAGGGCAAAATTGGAAAACAAACATTTCTCGAATTCTTCCCTCTAGAACCTTACATATTCATATTCATTCTCTAGCTCGCTAAGCTCCAAAACTGCAATTAATGATTTTAACTTTGAACAAATAATTGCATTCAAAAATCATTTTCGGAGTTCATTTTTATAAAAGTAAGGTTTGGAGATTTGTAATTATAAAAAAATCCGCAAATATCACTAAAGTAATATTGTTATATGAAATTAGGAAAAATATTTTTTTATGCAAAAAACAACTAGTTTTTTTACCACATAACAACAAAATACTGTCTTCCAAAATCACAATTGGATGTGTCATTAATTAATTAGACTCGCCTGCACTCATTGGATGTGCCATTAATTTATTAAATTGTTTTCTTCAAACTCGATATAATTAGTTGTGTTGTCTTCTCTGCTTTCAAATCATGTAACCCAAACAAACCAATAGATTTTGCCAAAAAAAAAAAAACTCAATTTGATTCCCTTAATTATATTTTACTATTACAAAATTAATGTACAATGAGTTGGGAAACCTGTGCACTGGATGTCGAACAGTACCACCTGCATCGGATGACATACAACAACCAAAGTCTGCCTTTTTCTTCAAATTAGTACTAAAAATTGAATGTTCTAAATTTTAGAATTCTTAATAATTGAATACCATCCCATGTCACAGTAAAGTATACTCATTAATCTATATCGTTTAAAATTAAAATTAAAATTAAAAATAATTTAAATATGCATTCTTATTCAGAACGTTTTAAATATTGTAATCGATCAACGTGACCGTGAGTAATCATGTTTTCACATATTCTAACTTCCTATTTTAATTAGTTATGGGGAAAAAAATACCAATACTAGCTATCTCTTTATCGAAACCCAGAAAGTTTACAATGCATTCTTAATGTTTTGATTTTAAAAAGTAGAAATAAAAGACGTACTAAACATTAAAACCCTGCTTCTTGAGATACTTCATGAACTCGTTACAGTATGCTTTTTAGACAGAAAATATTAGGGCAATTGTTTGAATATAAAATTTGGTGATAGGGAAAAGGAATGGCTCTTTGACTATCACCTTCAACTTTTTCATTTGGCTTCAGCAATGTTCAACGGGTTAGACCTTATGGGCATATAAAACAAAATAGGAAAGTTGACAGTGAATCTCCCTATATCCTCACCTTTCAACAAGACTGATTATATGACAAAATAAAATAACAAAATGGCCCAAAAAACTCAACTCTTGTTCAAAAATTAAACACTTAACACAGAATGAAACTATAATTCTTTCAAAAGTCTTCATCATAAATATAAGATTTTTCTAAAACCATTAAAAGAAGGGAGGTGGGGCCACTCATATTTTCTGCAAATCCACATTCTTATTTCCATTCAACCATTGTCAAAGAAACATATTCATCCTTTTGAGTGAATGTTTGAACTTTCTTAAAATATGAAATAATACTCTTCAAAATTTCCATTTATTGAAATAAAAACTAGTTATTTAAGTTTTACCCCCTCCTGTCAAGTGTTACAGTATTTCAGTGTCACTTAATATCTCCATTGAAACTATATACAATAGTCAGCCATTTTAGATATGTGTTAAAGTTATAAATTACAAAAAAGAAACAAAGAAAATTAATTATATAACAATTTACGAAATAATAATATAAAATATTTGTGTTATCAATATATTTTAATAACATTTTAAAGTTAATGTTAAACATAATGAAGCTGTTTGAGTGAGCCTTTCATCCTGTGGTCACTCTGTACAAAGTTTCTCACGATGTGAGAGTAATATACTCTCTTTGGACCAACAGAAAATTTGCCAATCTCATTATATCATATGTAATTATTAAATTATAAATTAGATTTTTCCAGTATAGAAGCTAGAACATGACTGCTATATATCATAATGAGATGCCATATTTTTGACCTAATATTCTCTTTTCTTTTCTTCTTATTTATCTTGGTGTCTGATGCATAATTGATCGTCATTTCATTTTTACACATCTCAATTCTAGAAACTTCCCACGCACAAAAAAACATAATTATAAATCCAAAACTAGCATTCTCTACTTATGTTGTCATACAAGATCTAGGGTGGAGGAAAATAAGAAAAATAAAGTGAATCAAATTAATTAATCTCGTCAAACACTGGCATATAAGATCAACCTTCTTCAAAGTTTCAAGGTAAAAGTAGATAATTTTGTTGGATCATCATCTATTAACCTGATCAACAAAGTACACTGATACATATCACAGGGAGGACATTTTCTTCTCACTGAAGCAAGCATTGTTGTAAATTTTGTACTGACATTTCGTCCTTATATCATTCAATGTTTTCTTTTGGATAGTAAGACAAATTAAAATACAATATCGTAATCAAATATTTTTGTTTGGTTAATACGACACTTGCAAAGGAAAAAAGTCACTGTTCAAATAGAGGCGCCTTGGTCAGATCATCAATATATTAACATTCTGTCATAACCGTCGGCACAAACTTTGCATCATGTCGGCAAAGATTGACAAGGGAAGGCCTCCAAAAGGTAAATGTCTATCATAGACCAGAGCGTTCTATCTTGATCCATGTTCCAATTTCAACGGCATTTATAAACCTTGTTCTAATTCAAGAAAATCATTCTAGTTGTGCACATGGTAGAGGTCAGATGTTGATGATACGAGATCCATAACATAACCAAATGAAAAGGAGTGATTGTCATTTCTCAACCGTTGTTGATGTATCACTGTTTTTTTTCTTATAATTTGTCTGGTCATTGGTAAAGATTTCGGTGAACTCAGAATCATTTAGGGATTGAATGCTACTTATCCAAACCATAAACATGTATATACTATAAATATCTATATAATAAGGCTACCGACATGAACTTGATGGACATAAAGAGTTCCGAAATATCTTGTTCCACCAACACACACCTGAAACAATCTCCAGAAATAGATCGGTATCGATATTTAATACCAAGAAAATCTTTCTTGATGTCACTCTACTGAATGAAAAAGAAGATATTCATTGGTTCTTCTAATCTAATTGCAAAACATCAAAGAGAGACGTGTTACTTTGAAATTAATCATTTCCATGATACCTATTTAAACATAAATTCTTTCTTACCCTCGAAAACTCAAGGGTTTTGAAGTTTTAAGAAACTCTTCCTTTCATCTTTTCTGTGTTCAAAATGTTGATCCGACAAGTAATAACCGTCCTAAAACTCTTTCTTAATGTATTTCTCCCTAGTGTATCCGAACTTATTTAACTTTTGGGAGAATTTTTCCAAAACCCTTACATTTCTCTTGCTAGCACAACAACTCTCATGTTTAAATGTTGAGACTGCCATTTATGTTTGAATATTAAGAAAGTTATGATTAGAAGAAACATTGTTTGCACTCTAACTTTAGTTCCAGACGCATAGAATAAGAGAATGGATACACCAGCTATTTGTCATATACTATATATATCATTCTCTAGTAGAGCTTAAATACATACATACCAGAGATCCTGAAGCTTCTACAAACTTCCAGAAATAGTTTTTATTCAATGAATACAAATCTGCCGCAAAAGTACCTCAAAAGGGCAACACACCCACACATGTGTAGAATCGTCTATGTATTACTAAGGAGAAAGAAAGACCCATGATCAAAAGTAGAATCCTTCTAGCTAGCCTCCCCCAACTGATTACACCGTACGGAACTACGGATCTAACAAAACAACGGATCACATAAACCATTCCCTAAAATTTGTGGCATCTCTCACCAAACCCAGCAATGGTGAGAGTAATCTTATCTCATTCCTTGACCTTGTATCCCATTCCATATACACCTCAACGCAACTTTCCCAGCAGCAGCCTTCAAAACCAAAATCACCTTCAACCAACAAAGAGGGCAAACCGAAACACAGACGCTGACACAAACACCCACACACACTCAAGCATTTTTCTTTTGTAGGAGACAACAAATATCCTCATAATCCTGTCAGAGCCATTATCTTGAATATTCAACATACTTAAGACGGAAACTTATAACATTACTTGTAATCTGGAACAACTTGCGTAGGTTGATCCGTACGGTCTCACAACCTCAAACAAACACAAAAACAAATTACCTTACTTATACAAACAGCAAGAAATCAATGATCAGAGGGTATAACTCCAAAGGTTATCTGCATCGGAATTGCCAGGCGAATCATCAGAAGAAAAGGAACTGATCCTAGGGGGACTAACCTGCATTCCCCTGGCCATGTCATCAAGCAAATTCGGCATGTTCAACAACTCATCCTCATCATAGTACTCATCACGCCTCTCCGACTCCTGTCCAATATCAGGGTTTACCGCCTGCCCACTCTCCTGCGGCGCCCTCACGAGCCTAGCCTGCGCTGCTGCCGCAGCCGCGGCTTGAATATCGGTGGCAGACAATGACGCGGGAATCGGGTACGAGAGTATGGAATTGGGGAAGTTAAGGGGCGTGTCGGGTCCCTTCAACGCGAGAGCCGCGACATCATAGGCCGCCGCAGCCATGTCCGGTGCCGGGTAAGTCCCCAGCCAAATGCGCGTGGTTTTACGTGGCTCCCTTATCTCCGACACCCACTTACCGCTACGGGAGCGCGTCCCCCTGTAGCGGAAGCCGGCGGAAGGAGTGGGAGACGGAGAGGACGTGGTTGGGGTTGGCGAAGAGGAGGATGAGTGAGGAAAGTTATCAGGGACTTGTATTGGTGGTGGTGGAACGTTTCCAAAAGGGTTGCCATCCATGTAGAATTAGTAGAATTAGTAGAATTAGTAGTAGGAGTAGTTGTTGTTGTAGACAGGCACATAGAAGGAACTAGCTGGTTGGTTGTGCTGTGGTTGTTTGCTGCTGATGTTATGTGGAGATTAAGGAAATTGATGAAAGTGGATGTGGTGCGTGGTCGTTGGTAATAATTAAGGGTTAGAGAGGTGAGACAGTGAGTTGGAACAAAACCTGAAAGCAAAGGTTGTTTTTTTTTTCTGGATTGGGGGGTTAATAAAAAATAGTGGTGTAATAATAAAAGGGAATTAGATAAAGCGTGGGGAAGTAGCGTGGTGGTGTATACGGGTTTTGGTAGGATACGTTGGGAGTGAGGTGGCCACACTATGAACACGTATTAGGCACACAATTGGCAGCAACAAATTAATTCTAGCTGTTTAATTGCTGGTCGATCGTAGGGGATCATGGATTTCACCTTTTTTTTTCTACACATGGGGATGGGGTCTCTCTTTATGACTAATAAATTTTAATGACCACATTTTGTGTACTGCTATACGAGTCTCACAACCTTTTCTCCCCCTCTCTTTACTTTCACCATCTATCTCACACACTCAATCATCCTTCTCTTCTGTGTTTATCGCTTTTTAATTACTATTTTATCATACTTAATGCTTCTTAGTTTGATTTTTTCTACCCTAACAACGTCAGCCTATTCAAATACGAAAACTATTGATGTCAAGTTTTTTTTAACTATTCAATCAAACACTTTAGCTGTCAGCTATTTAAAAGCTTGTTTTGACCATAGCCTCTAGGCATGTATTTATATTTTTCATAAAATTTTATCAACTTACAATTTCGGCCTTGGCAAACTACACTTCAAAGATACATTTTTTTAATAGGTTCTTTCTAAAACAAATATACTCATGATTTTTAATATTCACTAAGTTATTTTACAGAAATATGTTCACATGTTGCATTTGATTTTTATAAAACATATTTTAATATGTTAGTAAAGTACTATATGTTTTTAAATATTAAGCGAGTGTACACTACACATTCGTATGTATACACTTTTTTAAGTGTATTATGAATGATGAGCATGCTAGGCAAAGATATTTGTTAATCACAACTGCAAAAATAAAATAAAATAAAAGATAAGAAATATATTATTTTCGGAAATATTAGCCAACCCAGAGAAACTGGAATTGTATTACCTTGACAAATGAATGTTACTGCAATAACATCACATAAAGTTGTCAGATATATCTCACTCACTCCCTATGTAACATCCACCTGCTTTAGACTTTCTCATCAAATTTAAAAACTGAATTTGAAAAATGAATACATATTTAATTTAACTTATTCTCTTGCATATACTCACAAACTATTATATACTAAATGCTAAATTTTAAATTTATACATAGTTGTTTTTTCAAATAATTTTTTAATGAGAACGTGGACAAAGGATAAATTCGATTTAATAGTAATAGAAAACGTTAATAACTACTGTATAATAAATAAGTAATAAGTGTGTGTGTGTGTGTATGTATTGTTTTTTGAGGAGAATGCGTGTAATTTTTGTAAGATAACCCATATTAATGTAAAGATTATATATATATATGCCAAAATACGTACGGTATAATATTTTCACAATTGTAAGCAATAATGAATATAATTTTACCTACAGTAATGCATACACGGTCATATTATGTCCAAGTTTATGTCACAATTGATATGATTGGACTCATTATATATGCATCTCCACAGACATGAAATTCTGCTTTTAAAAAACCAATAAAATAAACAAAATGTATAAAGGTTTAAATTATTAACATAATAGCACATTAACCTTCGTCAACATAATAAATATAAATATGTCAACTAAAGGTTTTTTAATCAGAACCTCTTTTTAAAGTTAGAACATCATTTGTCTTTGGTCACATATATAATCATCGTAACTTTATTTCCTAGAATTTCTTTTATTATTCATCTCGAAGAAGTCGAGCAAGGCAACAAATTGAAAGAAATAAACCTAATGATTGAAATTTAAGTTTGGCCTAATTCTTTGATGAATGACCACAGATAAGAATCATCTATGAAATAGTGTATTAATTTATGATTTAATTTCCTTAAGACAAATTCTGAGAAAACTGAATTCAAACCATATTGGCGTTCCCATCATTGATTGATGGAAAAGGAAATATGGATCACTAGAAGTTCAATTGAGAGTTCGAAGAAGAAATTGCCTTTGAATTCTGGAGCCAGTTAGAAAGTAAAGAAATGAAAAAGGAGAAATATCTTTATTCGAATTCCGACAATGAATAACACACTTGCTCATGCTTTCCATGCCAAAGATGCAACCCAATGCGTAGTTGAAGGAAAAAGGAAAAAGTAAAAACAAAAAAAAATATACATATCTATAACTATTAGTAGTGCCTTTATTTTGAAAATTAAAAAAATGACCCTTAATATTAAAATAGTCAAATGCAAGTTTCTTTTACATCATGAAGATATAAGAATATCATTAATAGTGAAAATCAAATATCAATATTATGAAAAATGAAAATTATTAAGAAGTCATTAGAATCACGTGAGTAATTAGGATTTATACCCTATAAACCAGTGGCTGGGGATGCCATGGCCCAATTTTTTTTTTATATTATATGTATATATATATTAGGAATTTTTAAACTTTTTAAAAAATTGTAAACTATGTGTAGTATATATTGGAAATTGATAAAAATTAATCTAAGTATATTTTTTATTTCTTTTATAAAACATAACATTTAATGTTAATAAATAATAAAACATAAAATCAAATATAATAAAGAATAAAAATATTTATTAAAATATTTTTATTTCTTTTAATATATATTCTTTTTAGTTTTTCACAAATTGTACTCATCTCTCACTCGTGTTCTCTTTTTGTTTCTAAAGAAAAGAAGGAAGCTAGACACAAACTCATTATATTTAGTCTCATTTGTTCTTTTTCAATATTGAAGAAAAAAAAAATTAACTCTCTCAACTCACTTGATACTGAAATATTTATAAGAGGAGGCAATTATTAGCTTTTCTTTTTTATGTGTATACAATAGAGTATGTGTTCTATAACAAAGAACAACTCATTTGTTTCTATTTAATGTGTTCTATTATTTAATTTATGCATTTTACCTGTTTCTTTTACTAATATATAATTTTTCAAATATTAAATAAATCTTATTTTGACTAATCTCTTTATTTTTAAAGATATATGTAAACATTCACATTTATTTTATTTGTTCTACTTTTATTTTTATTTTTTTTAATTTATTGAGTACAACTACTAAAACTATTTGTCAATTATTATTGAAATGTTGTCAATTTCACTTCCAAAAAAGAATTCATATAACGAAAGACAATTAACTATAACAATAGTGTCAAGCAATAAACAATGGTGATGATATATTGTGGATTGCCTTCATCCCTCAAGTAGACGAGGCATGGAATAGTGAGAGATTATGTAGATGAGAGTGGGGAAATCTTCTATTATATATACATTAGTATGAGTGGAGAGAAGTAAACTGAGTTGTCTTAACGTGATTGGGTAGTCTCATTAAGTTGGAAATGTGTTTATAGTGTGCTTGAGATAATGCTTCAGGATCAAAATGCTTATGTGAAAAACAGTTTTTGGATAATGCTTCTTTAAGCATCTCTAAACTATTATATTTTAAAACAATAATTTATAACTGTCAGTTAACTTTCTCCTACAAAAGTCCTATCTGGTTTTGTTGGTTAGTTTGAGTTTTCTAAGAAAAACATTCATCTTATTAGTTATTCAGATAGATGTCATTGATAAAGTGTTATATAGTTAATTTCTATACAGTGTTTCCTCTATTCATTTTCTAATTTTTTTTTTTCATATAAGAAAAAGAAAAATTATTGCTACTAATTATTGATTTTTCTAGTCTATTCTCAGTTTCCATCGCTGTATTGTTCTCCCTGTCATTTTATAGGTAACACGAGAACATACTTTTCATTCTTAATAGCGATATTTTATTTCTTATGATAGGGTCTGCAGTAATTAAAGTATTGTCTAGTATTTGTCTTCTTTTTTTTTTTTCTCATTTCTCATACAACCTTAATCTCTTGTCCTTTTTCTTGTATAGAACATGAATTTTGCCGTGGCAACTTTTTATATTGCATATTATTCATATGTTAGAAGACTCATAAAATTTTTCTTATCATTATTTTTCAAAACCTTAGATTTAAATTTATATTATTAAGTTAGTATATATTGCACAATCTTGTGAAAAACCACCATGCTCATATTGCACTAATGTTGAGAAGGTTAACACATTTTAATGTAGTGCAATTGTGGTGAATATTAACAAAGTCAATTTGAATATAAAAATGAGGTCCAGGTACTTGTTTTCAGCTTATGTATAGATCTTAATGTTTTTAAACCTCTTTTAGATTTATTTTCTTTGAAGAATTTTTCTTTGACTTTCTAGAAGAGAACAATGACGAACCCAAAGAAGGAAGGCTTACAGTTCCTGCAATTTCTATTTACTCTTTCTATATTAATGATTAGTATTGTAATTTTCTATTTTATATTTTTAGAGTCCATGGCTAATTTATTGTACAAGGGTTGCATTACAGCTTCCTTGAGAATCCTAATTTAAGATTTTGATTCATTTATGCTTAATTTGGTTACTTTATTTAATTGATAAATGTTTTTTTTTTACAAAATAGGGATTTTTTGATTGTTTTTAATCCATCAATTTAGCTTGACCAATTATAATTATTTTATAGACTATTAGAAATTAAAAATTTTGTACAATTAATCTCAATTTTTTATTATATATTTTTTAATTTTAATATTTTTCTAAATGTTATTTCTATTTGATTAGTTAAGAAGAACAAATCTTAGAAAAATATCAATATTTATGACCATAAGTGATTAAATCATTGTTTTAAACAGATATATGATACTTAATTGGAAACAAACCTAAACTTTTAGTTATGACTTAAATATTTTAAGAACATTTTTTATTAATTTTTTAAAACTGTTTCTACCTTTTCGAAATCGTTTGAATTATAAAATAACATCTCTCCAAGCAATGACTATACATTAAGAAAATAATATGTTATAGTAAAAATATACTGATAAATAAAATAATAATAATATTTTTTTCTTTTTTTATATATTATTTCATGCGTGATTTGGTAAATGTATCACAACAAATCACACATTTTTTTTTACTTTCAAACAAATAAAGAGACTATTTAATAAATAACTATGATTAAATGTCTGTTTTTTCACTTCTATTAACTTTATTCTTATTATGAGATATAGCCCGGACTTAATGTTTTAAAATA